AAACAACTTCAAGTCTAACCAGAAATATTTTTTTACATCCACACAAAAACTTTTCAAGCTCTTACCCAACTGGTGGGCGAAATGTTGGCCGATTGGAGCGAGCCGATCGGCGACCGTGATCGCGAAACGATGCTGAGGACCGCGAGAATCGGCCGAGCTATATCGATCGTGTGCTCCACACTCACGTATTTCATGCTTTTCGCCTTCGTCTCCCTTCAAATTTGGAGCAACGCGGAGAACGCGTCGGAGGCGGATCTCGGCGGGCTTCTTCACCCGGCCACGTTCCCTTACGAGACCGGCAAAAGCCCCAATTTCGAGATCACCTGGCTCGGCCAGTTCGTGGGCACGGTTTTAACCGCGATATGCTACTCCTGCTTCGACACGTTCCTCGCGGTTCTCGTGTTACACTTGTGCGGCCAATTAACCGTTCTTAGAACGGCTCTCGGGGACCTGGTCAACCTGGCCGCGAGGAGGAACGGTTATAAAACGTTCGAGGAACGTCTCAGATCCATCGTGAACAGGCACAACCACTTGTCCAGGTTTGCTAATTATCATTCGTTATTTCGTAAGTTAATCAAAATTGAATTATAAAATTATAGAATTAAGTGGAAGCTCGATTAGTCGCGCGAAAATCGAGATTCTATAACTTTCAGCGAAACTTGTAATAACAGAGATTCGAGGTCTTTATCTCCAAGTCGATATTGCTTGGAGGATGATCGACGAATGTTATTTGAAGAAAATTTGATTCGTTTCGAAGGTTTGCCGTGATGGTGGAAGATTGTTTCAACCTCACGTTGCTCGTTCAAACATTGATCTGCACGGCGATGTTCTGTTTGACCGGATATCGTATGATAACCGTACGCACAACTCGATAACTTTTTTTTATAAACGTTCCTCATGAAACGAATTTTCCAATCCACGTTTCTTCTCCAGTCCGTAGACCGGGAGGAGGCGGATGTGCCGATAGTTGGAATGATATTTTTCATCATACACGTGATCTACACCATGCTGCACCTCTTTATTTATTGCTACGTGGGAGAAACTCTTCTTGGACAAGTTGAGTCGTTACGAGTGATGAGCGTGCATTATATCGTACTTCCCTCCAAAATGGAATACTAATGGTTTTTCAGAGTACCGGCGTTGGCCAGTCAACGTACGATTGCAATTGGTACGATTTACCATCGAGACACGCCGTTTTATTAATAATCGTGATACGCCGTGCAAACGAGTCGTTTCAAATAACAGCTGGAAAATTCAGCCCGTTCTCCCTTGAACTTTTCAACGCTGTGAGTCGAAACGTGATCCTCTTCGGAACATCTTTGAAATTTCTAATGTTCAATTCAAACGTTTCCTTACGTCAGGTATTGAAAACATCGGCTGGATACCTTTCCGTGTTGCTGGCAATGAAAGATAGACTGGTCGAAGAGAAATAACACGGATGTGGATCGAAACGATCGCTTCTTTTTATCTTATATTATTATAATTAAAAACGCACCACTCTGATTATCCGAATAAAACTGTTTTGATATGTATTGAAATAATTACAATATGATTCGTATATCCTGATAAAAAAGAAAAAAGAAAAACGTGACTCACATTTTAAGCAAGAAATAACAACGTTTTTAAAGGATTCCTCTTCGTTTGATCGTCTTCATCGTCATCGATTTTCATCTCGGTTTAGATCTTTACTGCAAAAAAGAAAAAAAGAAGAAAGTGTAACATTTAGTTTAGAAACACAAGTGAAAGATTAATTTCAAATCACTTTAAAAAATTTATCTTTTATATCATTTTTCTTTTTTCTCTTTATTTCTTAAAAAAAAAAAAAATTGTCTACAATATCACTAACTTCAAAGATAATCCCATCGAAATATTTTACGTTCTCTACCGACAAATACGAAAGCACGACTAAGAAAGTTGAAAAAATGCGAGCAATGCTCTTCTTTTCTTTTTTTTTTTTTTTTTTTTTTCTATTTCTCCGTTATACAAGATTATGAATAATTACGAACGAATATTTGCAAACGTGTTATAACGATAGATTCGATTTAAGCGTGCAGTTGGAAACTAGATATTCATGAATAATTGATATCCCGATGCATTTTCTGAACGCGAGAAGGGAATACGCGCTAAGAAGCACGACAGAGTACTTTTTGAATATGAGAGCGGATGGTTTACTTACGGGAAAAAACTTCAATGAATATTCAAAAAGGTAACTTTTCATATTAATTGATATAGCTAAATATTCACACACACGCACGAAAAAAAAAATTGCAATTTTGTCTCACACGAAAAATTTTTTTCATTTCACCACATATTTTATAATCACCATATTGAATTCAGAATTTTATTCGTCAAATATTCGCCTTAGATTTAAAGTATTTGTACGGATGGAACTATTACACGATGAAGTTCATCGGTATTTGGCCAGAGGAGAGGAAATGGAACCGAGCGTCGAATTACCTCGTTCTGATACCGTTCCTCATGATGCTTTGTTTCATTTGCGCCCCTCAAACCATCAATCTCTCGTTAATTTCGGACGATTTTAATCTTGTGATCGAGAATCTGTCGATGGGTAACATTACTATCACGCTTTCCCTCCTAAAGACTATCGCTTTTTGGATCAATGGTAAACGTAAGTATTATTTCACGTCATATTTCACAAGTTAATATTTTTCCAAAATTATTATACATCTCGCAATTACTTGCATACTCTATCCACCACTTTTTATTTTCTTCTTTCAAGCATTGAAGTCTCTTTTAAATTGTATGGCCAACGATTGGATCAAAGTGACGAGCAAAATCGAACGAGAAACAATGGCGAAGATCGCGAACATCACCAGAAACACTACGATAAGAAGTACAGTGATGTGTCACACTGTAGTCGCCTTTTACGTATTTTTACGATACATTTCCATCAAATACAACGAGAACAAATTGCTGTTTCGTGCATATTTCCCTTACGACACTACCGTGAGCCCGAATTACGAGTTGACGATGCTCGCACAATTCGTGGCAGCCCTTTACGCGGCCACCTCGTACACAGCTGTTGACACTTTCGTGGCCATGTTGATTTTGCACGTTTGCGGACAACTGTCGGGTATTAAAAATGAGCTGAGCCAATTACCGACCTACGATAAGAAAGATTTGGAGGCGAGATTGAAAGGAATCGTTCAAAGGCACAAGTATATTAATAGGTTCGTGAAAAGTTGAACATTGTTGAAAGTTTTGAGAAAATTTTTTCTTTTTTTTTTTCAAATTGTTCAGTAAATTATATTTAAGTAAAAAAAGAATATATATATATATATATAAGGAGAATAAATGTTATTGCTTTTCGTCAAGGTTCGCAGAAACGATAGAAAATTGTTTCAACGTGATGCTTCTGATTCAGATACTGGGTTGTACCGTGCAATTGTGCTTTCAATGTTTCCAGGCTATTATGGTACGAAAAGAAATATAATAATTTGTTACGTTGATACGAAAAGAAAAAAAAGGATGAAAGTGATTGGATATCGTAAAATAATAACACGTTTCTTTCTTTCTTTTTTTTTTTTTTTCTTTTCTTTTAATTTTACTTATAGTCATTTGGCGGTGGAGAAGCGCAAGAATACTTATTTTTCCAATTAATATTCCTGCTCATCTATGTGTTTTACGTGATGTTGCAATTATACTTGTATTGTTACGTGGGCGAGAGACTTTCAGTCGAGGTACATCGTTTGTAAAAGAAGAAAATTTAATTAAATCGACATTTCCCTGTTACGTGTAAATTCACAAATATTATTTAACACCGAGATAATAAATATTGTTTGAATATTCATACGAAATTTTGTATTTCCAGAGCATGGAAATAGCTAAGGCCGCGTACAATACCCAATGGTACACACTACCTCCCAAAATCACAAAAATGCTTATAATTGTCATGTGCCGTGCCAAGACACCGTTAACTATAACAGCAGGCAGATTTTGTTCCTTTACTCTGCAACTGTTCTCCGAGGTGAGTGCGAACGAGACGAATGTATATCACATTACATTTATCAGAGAGATTGCATCCTTCTCCTTCATCTATTAATTTAATCCCGCAATTTTGAGGGGAAAAAAAAAAAACAAATCTTCGCGATAACCATCTTTGTTGTGGAGGTGTCTCAGGAACAGGCCTTTTTTTTTTGTATTCCAGGTCTTGAAAACCTCGATGCGTTATATTTCCGTTCTATACGCGGTAAAAGATAAAATAAAATATTGAATATTAAAATATTATAAATAATACGTTTATTTATTTTTTTTTAAATTAATAATCGATGAATATTTTAAGCGATAAATAGGCAATCCAAACTAATAATATATTAATATATTCCTCGAGAGATGAGGAATGTCTCTTCGAGATATAATTTAAGATATAATTTTTTTCTTCCTTTTTTTTTTTTTTCTTCTTCTCCTTCTCGACAAACTTTGGCTGAATATTTGAACAACTCTCATTTGTAATCGATTGCTTATGGACAAGCCGTAGACACGCCATCGATGAATATTTGATCAAACAGTCTACGTATTCGTCAATTAAAAAACTACTTTTATCTATTTTCAAATGTGATAGAAACAAAACTTAAGCATCGTTCGATTCAATTCCATTCGTTAAAATTTCTTAAAATCAAGAACGATATTATTTTTTTTTTAAACAAATATCCGCAAAGATGCCTCGATAAAGTAAAAGTTGCAAAGCTTTCACCATTTATTTCCGTCGACTTTTATGAAAGAAAGTCTGGTCAACGTTTGGTTAATAAACGTTATTAAACGATTCCGCGTGGAAAACCATCACAATGGGAGAAAAGAGAGTTTGACGCGAGATGCACAATAAGATAACCGCTTTACGGTTTGACGGGAAGACGAAATGCCTGCTTATAAAAATTACTGTCCCCAACGAGCACGATGCCATTTTGATACATCGTGTCGTGGAATCAGCGCGCTATCCCTCTCTCCATAAGAAAAACTTCTTTTTCAAATGTATTCGTACGATGGACAATTTGATTTGAAATAGAATTTGTTGAATTCGACAGTTTAGCTTTGCTCGTTTAGCGATTTTATTAAATATTAAAACCAGGAACATGTTGAATGGGAAAATTTTGATTGTATTTGGATTGGTGAGTTATGGAGTTTTTGCCAGAAATGCGGATAGCAATCGTGAGTTTCTTAAAGAGGCGAGTAACAAGAAACATGGTGGCTCTATGTTGATGGAGATAGCGAAGGAGATTGTGCAAAGATCTTCGACCAGCAGCCAGGTGAGATGATATGAAAAATTGGATAAACTCGTCAGAAATTGTGAATATGAATAAATAATAACATTAATATTCAAGTATAAAACGTGGTTTCGTTTCAGGTGTTGAATCTAAATTTATCAAATTTGTTATTGCTTTTGGTGTTGAAAGCGGTCGTTTTTAGTGCTGGATATTTAGGACATCATGGTTACAAAGGGCGTGAATTGTGGGACGAAGGTCTTTCTTTGATGAAAATTATTACAGAGATTGAAACGATTTTCAAGTATTGAAATTAACAACATTACTTTCAGAAAACGTAGTATCCGAAGGTGAAGCTACACTGGCATTGGGATATTTAATGGGAGATAGTTGTCTGTATAGAGCAGCTTGTGAAGAACCTCACATTGCGAAGGAATATTTAAGAGCTGCGGAAATAATAATCGAAACAATGAAATTGTTGCCACAGTACGTACTTTTGAAGTACTTATGAATGTTCTTTAAATTAAATTTCCTTTTTTTTTTTTTCAATCGATAACTAGTGAATATGTTTTTAAAACAATTTTTAACATTTTTAACAATTGAATATATTTTTTAGCGGTTTGTTGATTGAAGGAACGCACGAGAAAACATTGGCAGAAATTCGAAAAGCCATCGAGCATGGTGTTACAGATGGGTGTCCGCCTGAATATACTTGCAAAAAGGAGAATATTAAGAATTTCTTGAAAAAAAATAGAAAGTGAAAGTATAGGGATATAAATAATTTCTTTCGAAAGAACCTGTAGTATTACTTGAATATTAATATTTTAATATTACTCGAATAGAAGAATAAAGTGATTTCTATAATTTATTTTATTTTATTATAAATTTCATTACCTGCTCCTTTCTTCTAATTTCGAATTACTGTACTTATGCGCCATTTTTATGCTCTTTAACGATGTTTTGATGTTCTTCGGTAAATAGAATATATTTTTTTTCAAAAAAACACATTGATAAAAGAGAACGAAGAAAAAATCTTATCTTAAACGACACGTATATTAAAAATTCCAACAAACAACATTATTTTATCCGTTTTTTCCGTTTTAATTTCGTGTTTCAAAGAAATCATGTGTCATCGCTATGAATGTTTGAAAACTACTGAAAGTTTTCGTAATCGCCGTCAGATGTCGATTCGATAGTTTGATACCTAACCAAACACACGTAGCTGACGATCAAGTTTTGATTTTCGCCTATTCACGCCGTAAAGTGTATAAACAATTTTTGTACTTAAAGTATTGAAGTACTTGTAATTACGACCGAGTGAAAAATGAGCTCTATAGGCACTGGGGTAAATATTTAAAATATAATTTTGGATAAAATTTGAAAAAAACTGTTGATTAAAGACAATAATAAAAGCTAACCTCTTTATGATTTTCAGTATGACTTGTCTGCGTCTCAATTTTCACCGGACGGACGTGTATTTCAAGTAGAATATGCACAGAAAGCTGTCGAAAATGGAGGGTGAGCGTTTATTTATATTATTTTTTAATTATCGATTTACTTTACTAATTTATCTATTCAATCTTTAAGAATATCATTATACAAAGAATCTTTAAATTCTTTTACTTCATTTTGCTAACGTCATTCTATTCATTTCAATCATATTTATATATTTTTTGTATTTATAGAACAGTTATAGGATTAAGAGGAAAGGATGGCATTGTATTTGCAGTAGAAAAAATAGTTACTTCGAAACTCTACGAAGCTGGAACAAATAAAAGAATATTTAATATAGATCAGCACGTTGGTATGGCTGTATCTGGTTTGATTTCCGATGCTAGACAAATTGTAGAAATCGCTAGATCCGAAGCGTCTAGCTATAAGTCCCAATATGGGATTGGCATCCCTTTAAAGTATTTAAACGAAAGAGTTTCCATGTATATGCACGCTTATACGTTGTATTCAGCAGTTAGGCCTTATGGTTGTTCCGTAATTCTTGGTGCTTATGAACACGATGGTCCAGCTATGTATATGATAGATCCTTCTGGTGTTTCGTATGGATATTATGGTTGTGCTGTTGGTGAGTATCGACTTAATACATTTAAATAATTAATCTTTCTCCATTTTTTTTTAAATATATTATATCACTTGAAAATATCGTTCCATAGGCAAAGCGAAACAGTCTGCAAAAACGGAATAGAAAAATTAAAGTTATCCGAAATGACGTGCAATGAATTGGTAAAAGAAGCTGCGCGTATAATCTATTTAGTTCACGACGAATTGAAAGACAAGCAATTTGAGCTTGAAATGAGCTGGGTTGGTAAGCATACCAATGGAAAACACGAACGTATACCAGCGAATGTAAAAGCTGAAGCTGAGGCAAAAGCGAAGCAAGCAATGGCAGAAGATTCAGACAGTGATACAGAAGATATGTAAATTGACACAAATAGTACTAAAGATACTTTTTATATTGTAAGTTATAATTTAAATATATACAAATTGCTATAGCAAAATAATTGTCATCACGACTCAATTAAATAAAAAAAATATTGTCTGTTCTTTATAAAATTGCCAAATTACATTCTTTTCATCACTTTTTCATCACAATCTTTTAGTTTTTCTCGTTTCGCAATTTTGTCTCGTTACAAAAAAAAAAGATATCGTGATCTTTTTCCCAATCATGACGTAACTTTTTAACCCGCTAAAAGAAAAATCTGCACTTGTGTTATATCGATGTGCGATCCTCTATCATATCGATTTACTTAACGTAAGTTTCCAAGTGTTCACAATAATCCACGAATAATGAATATAATCCCCTTTACCGAGATTAATCGGATTTATAAATTTTTCAGCTGACTGACAAACGATTTCTTTAAAAATTGAAACGCACGAAAACCACATACATCGAATCGTAATTTTTTTCTTCTTTCCTTTTTCTTTTTTTTTTTTTTTTTTTCGTAGAATTAATTTTAAATTCTAATACACTTATCCAAACGAAACTCAGAAGAATCAAGCGATACAAGATTATTAGCAGACGTGGCAACGTATTCTTTCACCGCTTTTGCGTAAAAGCCAGCTTCGCTCGGCGTGACCAGATTTACACTCCATTATCACTATCCTCAAAAGGGAATATCCTTGGACACCAAGCGGCAAGAGAATAAAATCGAGGAAGGAGTATAGGGAAGGAAATTAATCGCGTCGAGTGGATTGAAACAAAAAAAAAGAAGAAAAACACACACACACATATATATATATATACAGCACGTGGTGGTGGTTCGTTGATTTCTCGACAATGGGATCACAATCTACTACGCCGTTGGCGGATAAACGGGGGGGTTCTACGATACAGTGGCATGGTCCCTCGCGCATGCTGTTTCTCTCTGTACGCTTGGTTTTAGCCGGCAGCTGTGACTAGGTAGAGGAGGAGGAGGCTACCAGTGCGGTCGGAGGAAAGAGGGTAGTTTCATCCGGGCTTTATATAAGGGTAGGTAGAGTTTGAAACTTGGCCACTACATTTGTTTTTGATCGAGCCGATTTTCGCTCCTCCGCCCACGAGACAGAGAAATAAAATAATCGTACGAATAATCCTTCGTATTACGCTGTCTTTCCGTGTGTGTGTGTGTGTATACGCTGTCTAATCGGGAGAAACACGTGGTGCACGCCTTCTTCTCTTTGTTCCCTTTCGATTTTTCACGATTCGCGTCGATATACACCTCGTCGTGCATACTCGGTGGATAAGAGGGGAGAGAAGGAGAGGAATGTGTTTGAAGCACAATGGAGCATGTTATTTACGAGGATCAAGTAAGTCCGGTGATGTACATTGGTGCCGCGATCGCGTTGGGATTTATAGGATTCTTCGGGTTCACTGCGAATCTCTTGGTGGCGATCGTGATCGTCAAGGACGCGCAGATACTATGGACCCCTGTGAACGTGATTCTGTTTAATCTAGTCGTAAGTGATGATACACTTTTAACGATAATTCCTCGTTCGAGTTTTGTTTTTTTCGTTACAGTTATTTTTTTTTTTTTTTATGTGGAAAATCGATATAAAATTTTAAACGATATTAAAATATTCTTTTTTCGAACGAACGATCGTTTCGCGACGCTTATTGAACTTAACGAAACGCTTTTAAGTTTATTGAAAAAATTGACGAAGCGAATAAAGAGAAGCGATCGAAAACGATGGGATATTGTTCGTGTATGCGAACAGTTTGTAGATAAGGATCGAAAGGGATGCACAGTGTGACGGTTAGAATAGAATGGAAGACGTGTTGCTTCACGCGTTCTTTTTCCTCTGTGAAATATATTTTATATATAATTTTTCGCCGCATTTTTTCTAAAAATTTAAAAATCACGTTTAATCTCATCGTCACAGTGATACTAAATTGCATTACTACTAATTCAATAATATATGGATGGATGAAAGTGAAAATTTGATCGACGAATTTCAATTAAGTAATTCACAAAAAAAAATTTTTGTTCATTCGTTCAATTAAGATCGTGTTCTTGGCAAGTATTATTTGAAGATCGATATTTTTCTCTCGATAATATTTTTTTTTTTTTTTTTAATGGGACAAGTTTGTTAATGAACGTTGTTGCATCGATGATTAAATTTCCAAAGATTAAAACGAAATTGAAAGAAAATTTTAACTCCCATTTCTACATCAATTCAACACCTATTATTAAATATTTTTGCCTGCCATTATTTTTCTACACTTCGACACAAACATCTTCATTTTCAAATTATAGATATATCCAAAGTTCAATGAAATGGCGTTGAATAAAAAATTAGAATTAGAAAGAGCAATTCAATATGTTATTCGATATTTAAAGCATGAATGCACGAAAGAACGATTATTGTAAAAATTTTATCGATTCAATTTTTTGAATCTTGCGTTTCTTTTTTAATCACCAGTCAGATTGAAAATGAATATTAAAGATTCATCGTGGATAAAAGGGATGCACGAGAACGTAGGCGTCGCTGAGAAAAGAAAAGGGAATTGTCCAAGGATAGCTTTTATACAGAAGAATAATTCTCGAGGAGTAGCTCGAATTTTAACGAACGAATTAAAAATTTCTATCTGTAACACACGCGGAACTAACTTTTGAGCTTTAATTTTTCTCGAATTAAAAAAAAATTTCGCGCAACTTGTTTGGATGTAAAACACTTTTTACTGTTCACCCTCGATTTGATCACAAAATGCATATTTCCAGTGTTGTTGTTTCCTAAACCGGGTCAAATTGAACTCGTGATGGTATATTTCGTGTGGAATAGTAAGTCTATTTAGAAACTCGTTACGATAGCCTCAAAGCATTTACGCTTGCAAAGCAGAGTTAATTATTTATTTTACAAAATACGAGAAGCAGCAAAAGAGTCTTAAATATTTAAAAACGTTTCTGAAAATATCCTTTTGAAGCGAATCCATTCTTTTATGATTATAATTGTGGCTTTGAAAAATCGAAAAATCAATCATCACGTTCCAAAATCAAAGTTCTTCCGTCTTTGACCGTTTCGAGTGTGTTATGTTTCCTTTTTTCGACAAATTTTTTCGAATTCCACGAAACAATCTGAAAAAGAAAACATGAATATTTAATATTTCCACAAAATTATAGAAGATGCGAAAACAAGATTTCCATAAGGATCGCATTCTTCCGTTTATCGATTAACAACTCTCTCCCTTCTGCGTTTTGTCAAAATTAATATTTCAAGAGTGGATCGAAGCAAACGATAATTAAATGTACATTTCCCTTTCTCTTTTCATTGATTCGAGAAAGAGATTAAAATTTCCTGGCCTGGAGGGAAGAACTTTTGTAAAAACACATTTAAACAATGATCATAATCTAAATAATCCACTAGATCATTTGTAATACGTACGAAAAAGGATATCGAATGTGTACATAATTTTTTTTAAAAAAATCGGGGCGAAAATGTTGAATTGAAAATTCAATCCATTTCGTATTAAATTTCGTATTAAAATTAAACTAAAATGTTTTAAATGTTAAAGACATAAGATAAGAAAATGATCGGATAATCGTTTCTTCTTTTTTTGGAAGAAGAAAAAGAAAATTCAGTGTCGAATAATAATACGATAATTTTCATTTCAGGTTGGCGACTTTTTGGTGTCCATATTTGGAAATCCTGTCGCGATGGTCTCTGCCGCCACTGGTGGATGGTACTGGGGCTACAAAATGTGTCTCTGGTATAACTTATATTGCTCGTTAAACCATAATATTTTTTCTTTCGTAACAAAGTCATATATCACGTATAATCTTCGTTCGTTTTCTCCTTTTTCACGATACGAACGGCAATTTTCACGAACATACAAACTCCTTTGAGCTAGTCGAATTTTTGTTCGAAAAATTAAGCGAAATATTCGTCTCTTCGTCTCTTTTACACTACGCGCGACGAAATGAATTATGCAATAAATTTTATCGAAGAAAAAGTTAAAAAAAAAAAAGAAACGGAGAAACATCGACAAAAATGTTCGTAAAAATTCGTAAAAATTCTTTCGAGGAAAAAAAATCTTTTAAAAATTGAATTCCCGATGGGAATCGAATGTCGAACGAACGTCGAAAGTGGAAGAAAGACAAAAAAATGATAAAGAAAAATTCAACGTTGCAGCAATATCAATTTATTTATTGGGGTTCTCCATTCCTGCTATTTGCACAAGAACAATGAAATTTTTCTTTGCTGGAAACCCATGGAATGTCCCGATAGATACATCATAACCTCGTGTCTCAAGCGAGATCAATCGTCGACAAAAGTGAAAATTGGATTCTTTGTCACGCGTATATGTACACATAACGAATTGTTCCTTTTTTTCTTTTTTTTTTTTTAATTAACGAGCTTGTAAAGCAACGGATGTTCCATTGAAAGCTTCTGCCGAAAGAGAAAGATTTTTCTGAAAAATGGAACACGGTCAACAATACACCGCCCTTCTCTTTTATTTTTTTTTTTTTTTTTTTCCCTTTTCTAGCTCATATCTCCAAGAAAAGTATGATTAATTCACCAAGCAAACTTTGTACTTACTCCGTACTTGTATAAAATTTTTACGATATATCATTTGCAAGATCGTGATCGAGGTTATATCATCCATTCTTTGAAGAGAATTTTATAACAAAGCTGATCGATAAATATTTCTTATATCGATCTTTCGTCGAACTCGAGTTTTTTCTTTTTTTACCCATTAAACATTTTCAAAATCTCCTCTTAATCTTCTTAAACTTTCACGATCCAATTACGCGTAATTAATTCAATTAAAAACTCGCGATCTTTTCTTCGATTTTTATTACCATCACTTTCATTCATAAAACGATCGTTTTATTATAGTCATATTCCCTTTAAAAACTCGTTTTAATCCTTTCCCATTTGGAGAACAATATTCTTCCAGATCAGATTCCAAACGAACTGCAAACGAGCCATTTTATTATTCCACTTTTTTCCACTTCCACAAGTCTCGATGAAGAATTCAATTCGTGTAAATTTACAAATCGCGACCATCTGGTTCGTTAAACAAATCAACGCCCTCCCATTATCAAAACCCGGTATAATAATTGTAATTGTTTAAACGCAAATCGAATGTAAGATAAAATAAGTAATTTATTTATTTTATATATATAAATATATAAGTAAGAAAATTACGAGTATAAACGAGTATATCGTGCACGATAAACGTAGAATGGAATCGTTGAACGCGAACAAACGCGTTTCTAACCTCATAATCGACGCGTTCGACTTCTATTTGCTCGCTTTTTTCGCCTCTCCTTTTCGACAAGTGTCTCCCCCTGTATTCCACTTTTCTTCGTCTTTCCTTCAATCTCTCTCAACTTGCCATCTTCCTTCGCCCGACGACACTTTCTTTCTTCCTTTTTTCTCGCATCTTTCGTTTCAACTTCTCTCTTCATCAATTATTTGCACGTATAACAAGTGTAATACAACGAGTACACCCAAAAAACTCCTCCTTTTCTTTGTAAAGAGAAAAGGAAATATTGTTTAAATCCGATTTTTCGAATCCTTATTAAAAATTAATTCGAGAACGGATTCAAGGATCGGTTAAGAGTTGAAGATGTATTTATACACGAATAATTGCTTACAATTCGTGGAAGAGAAGGATCATCTGGATGAGCTGGAACATCTACCGCTCGCCGTACGTTTCGTAAAAATCCTGTGTTGTCTTTTTCAACCCATAAAACATCTCCTGTCGAAGCGGCAAAATTGAGAGAAAGTGTATTGTGCGCGCGTTTCTTACCGCAAAGCGGTAACCTCGCCGATTTGTCGCCGTTTAAACGTTCGACTTTTGAAGAAATGTCTAGAAATCATGGAGCGAGACGTTTAAATACGGAAGAAAAAAACGAGTAAGTCAACGATCGATGAATAGAAGAATGTGAAAAACTTTATCATTCGTCTTCTCGTCCATCATCGCCCATCATCTTCTCCATTCAATTCTATTTCTCGGCAAAAAAATTTCCAATTAAACGATCACAATCTTTTAAGATTTATCGTTACAAGTGCAATACAATCTCAATCACGACGTTCTTTTTTTTTTTTTTTAGTAAAATTTCCTCTCCTTTTTTTTTTAAGGTATGCCTGGTTCATGTCCACTCTGGGATTCGCCAGTATCGGGAACTTGACGGTGATGGCTGTCGAGCGTTGGCTGCTGGTGGCCAGACCGATGCAAGCTTTATCCATAAGGTGAGGATTCGTTCGATTTTTCTTCCCTTCGTTTCATAAAGCCGGAAATGTTGCGAAGGAACGATCATTTCGTCCGGGTGTTCGTTGAAAAAAAAGATATATCGACTTTGTTCGGCGGAGCAAAATGGACCGAAATTTCCACTTGTCGCGAGAAAAGAAATTACGAGAAACAGAACTGATCCATTTCCTCTTGTTCCATTTATACTCGTTTATTATTAAAACGCATTGTTGTGCCCCGAAAATGTGAAAATTATAAAATTACTTCGAAAACAATGAAACTCGGACAATTAAAGCGAGCACATTACGTTTCACTCCCGGCAAATAAATAAATATTTCCAATGAAAATTAATATTCGCGAGAAAATATTAAATCGATTAATTTTAAAATTTTTTCCTCGTCGAGGTGAAAAAAGTCGTCCAAAATGAATGTAGAAAAATGCAATTTAATAAATTAGATATTTTATCATAAATTAAGGGAGAAAATAAAGGGGTTTGTCACGCGCGAAATATCTTCGAAGAAGAATAGATCGTTTTTACCAGATAAGAAGATCGTGACTCGATCAGTTTATCTTATATCCGATCCTGGTGGATCTATCTATCTCTTAAAATTGTTGACAAACGACGAATCATGATGATTAATTAATTATTCCTCACGAATAATTATAATCCTCGTTTCGATATCGTGTACACTGATTCTTTTAATCAACCACGGATTAATAAATATAGTTCTCGTCAATTTTTAAGAATCTCGACGTTCTTTCTCTCGCCAGATTAAGAGATAATTCGAAGGGGTAGAGACGAAAGGGAGAAGATCTTCTCCACAGCGAATTCTCGTAACTTTGAGATTAATAATAAGATGAAAGCGAACCGGGATTGAAGTTTATTGGGTTTTTTCGCCTCTTCCCCTCCCCTTTTCTTTCGTCGAATAATAGGTTGCTTCGATTACTTACTTTAGAAACGCGAAAAAAAAGAAGAAAAAGAAGAAAAAAAGATATCGAAAAGAGGATGGTTGAATTATTCAAGTGTATTTTAGATAAGGTATTAAAGATAAAAGATTGGCTTTTAAATGTTTTAAGCGTTACGATGACGAATGGACGAAATAAATCTTGGAAGACGACCTCCGCGTTAATTTTCCTTCAACCGAGGACGTTGAAACCACGTTGAAAACGTAGTATACGAAGTATAAGAGAGAACGATAACAAAGGATAAGAATAAATATAAATAAATTTTCAAATAAACATTTTACACTTTACACATTTACTTCGTTTTAGAGAGGATTGTGTAAAGAAGAAATACTTCGTCTGTTTTCGATAGACACGCGGCGATACTAGCATCCTTTGTCTGGATTTACGCGCTATGCCTCTCTTTGCCGCCATTGTTCGGCTGGGGAAGTTACGGGCCGGAGGCAGGGAACGTATCTTGCAGCGTGTCCTGGGAGGTCCACGATCCCGTCACCAACAGCGAGACCTATATAGGATTTCTCTTCGTGTTCGGCCTGATCGTCCCAGTTTTGACCATCGTTTCCAGTTACGCGGCAATCGTACTGACCTTGAAGAAAGTGAGCAAGAGGGCAGGTGATTTTCATTCAAACGATCGCCAATTTTCAATCGCCAACATCCTCTCCCTCCAACGTCTCGGAAATTTAAGCGACGCCTTGACTTTTAATTCGATTCGAAAATATATCTCCAAAGCTTCTTCTTCCAGAACGTTTGGACGATTGTATTTCTTTCCCCCCTTCGAGACGAAGCACGATAAAAATGAAAGCTACGTGACAAATAATCAATGACAAGCGTACGCGTTGAACGGAAAGTTAGTGTCTTTCTTCTAGTGTCAAATGTCAATTTAGCTGTGAGTAATTTCATTTACAAACCTGCTTTTCTCCGTCATTTTCTAATTCATTTTTTTTCTTTTTTTTTTTTTTGGAAAGTGAAATCCCCTTCCCTTTCTATTTTTATCGTGCTTTATGATTCGTGCTTGTCTCGAATCGTCCATTTTTTCCTTAATTTTCCTAATAACGTGTTCTTATCTATTATTTAAAGTTTTTTTCTTCACACATGGAAAAATCAAACGCGAAGAAGAAATCTTTCTTTTATTCCTTCGCGTGTTTATAAGAGGGGAAAGAAGAGGACGGCTGGTCGTTATCCCAGAGGCGCGAAATTAGTCGGTTTTATGATTCAGGTGCAAGTGGAAGGCGCGAGGCAAAGATTACGAAAATGGTTGCGTTAATGATAACGGCTTTCTTACTCGCTTGGTCACCTTACGCTGCCCTCGCGATCGCTGCGCAATATTTCAACGTGAGTATTTACCAAGATTTACGTTCTATAAACATTCAAACAATTGAGAAAAAAAATACAAATATCGTATATGTAAATACTGTATACTCGCGGACAATGCCGCAACAAGTTTAACAAAGGCAAACAGAATATTTCGCGTAGAAATATATAGCTTCCTGTTATCGCTCAAATTTATCTTTTCGTCCGGCCTCTTTTCGTTGATCCGTCGACTGTATGTCCTTATCCTGTGCGCAATAGCGTTTTCTCGTTGCGTTTCTTTTTTTTTCAATTTTCGAAAATTCGAAAAATGCGGAAATTAATAACAATAAACGTTTACACGATTCGGCTCGAAACGCGTCAGAATTTTCTTTCGAACGAATGGATGATGATAGCTTTTGAAACGTGAGACTCGAATCGTGTGAGAAAAAAGAGACGCGAAGAGAGAGAGAGAGAGAACCGTGACGCGAACAAAAAACGAGTCACGACAAGGACGAGCAAATCTATTTGTAAACAACCGCACGAGTTTTTCCATCTCGTTCTCCGCCCTCGAGAACGAGCATAATTTTCGAAAACTAGGGAAAGAGAAAATTTGTTTCTAAACAAATTAACGTGTACACGATTAATTCGCTTTAATCCCTCGACCTCGCCACTTTTGAACGCGAATGTACACTCACAAAGTGAAAGCATTATTATTTTCCGTTACCAACAGGTGTCATTAACACGCGCAACGCCATGACCGGACGCATTAAACGGCATCGCCTCGAGAAAAGAGAGAGAAAGAGAGAGAGAGATAAAAGAAGAAGAAGAAGAAGAGAAGGAAAAAACAGTTAATTTTTTCATTCAAATTTCTAGGCGAAACCATCGGCGACCGTGGCCGTGCTTCCAGCCCTGCTGGCCAAATCCTCCATCTGCTACAATCCTATAATTTACGCCGGTTTGAACAACCAATTTTCCCATTTCCTGAAGAAGATCTTCGACGCGCGAAGCTCGAGGACCGCGGCCCCCGACAGCCAACACACAGCGTTGACCGTGATGAGCAAGAGGCAGGAGCAAAGGAAATGAGGACCGCTATCCTCCATCGGGCGGCCCAAGCTTCGAATTGAACGCTCAACGAATCGTGAAATCGTTGGATATAAGCGTTGTTCCAACAGACCGTGCATCGATATATCAAAAGATAATTTAATCTTAATAATAAACTCGCCTCTTTCTTTTATCTTAAACCTTAACTTCGCCTCGTCAGCTTCGGATCGATTTTTTTTTTATCTTTATCCGATACTTACACGAACTCGAGTCGAATCTTTCTTTCTTTCTTTCTTTCCTTCGAATCTGCGCATTTTCGATGAAAAGAGATTTTTTTTTTTTTTAAGAGACGAGGGAAGAAAGGAGAAGGTTGGAAAATTTGGGTGAAAGGTAAACGGTCTTTCTACGAGAAATTACGTTACGCCGTGTTAATCGACGATTTCGTGTTCGTTTCTGTTCACGGGTGCGTGGATTAGTGTGACGAACGTAAGAGAAACGAGTCTGGAATTTTCTTTCGAACGAACGAAGCGTCCTGCGTTCGAATATGAAATATTTATCGATGCGGTGTACGATCGATGCGTACGATTCCAAAAAAAAAAAAAAAGGAGAAGAGAAATTTGACAAAAGAGACGAAACACAATTTGATGAAAAGCGATTAGGTTAATATAGCATGTATCCGGATGGAGAGGAAGAGCGGCGTGGAATCTGGGTAAAATTTCACGGATGGCGCGGCGAAATTGCGCAGAGAGAGAGAGAGAGAGAGAGAGAGAGAGAGAGAGAGAGAGAGAGAAGG